ATAATCACAATGACATGAAAGCATCATTACCGTAATCTTACCTACAATGTGAAAAATGCCCCCCACACCAAAGAGCAGCCCATTAAATGTACAATAACACTCGATCACGTGCACCGGTCCACTTTCTTTAAAAGGTTGATTCCTGTATTCAGGTATACATTGAGCAGCTGGGAGCCCGGTTGACATATAGCATCCTACATAATGTATAGAAATACATAATGGCTTTTGCTGCAGGAAGGGGCATTGGTTCTCAAATGTCACCTCGCTGTCAAATGTGCACGAAACGCCGGCTTACAAGACGCCGCCGAGCGTGACACGACCAAGCATGATTGCATGAGCTGCGACCCATGTTCAAGAGGACAGAAAACATAAACAAAGCCAGGGAGCGTTGTAAAGATCGCTAACTCCGGTACGCTTTGTGTTGTCCGCTGATGAGGAGGAGGCGTGCTTATTGTTCTGCACGAATCGATACGGCAAGCCTTTGTAAAACAGATGCTTTCATGAGCTCGGTTGGGGGCGAGTGAGTCTGCAGAATGACGGCGCTGCAGATGGTCGGTGAGAGATATTCAGAGCACGCAACAAGAAAAGAGCGATAAGAAAAAGATCCAGCTAAAAGGGAGGGAATGGGTTAAATAGATAGAGAGGAGCGAGAGAGAGAGAGGGAGGAGGGGGAGAATTAAAAAGAGACGGAGAGCAGGGGAATGATGAAAGCTGAGCTGTGTCCTACCCAGGAGGCTCTTACACATATATATACTGTATGGGCCGGGTGTAACGTCAACATACAAGGCCATCTGCCAAGCACCGCCAAGGCCTCAAAGAGAGAGAGAGGAGAGAGGATGCTCGAGAGGAAAAGAGAGAGAGTCGAGTACAAGAGACGATGGAGGGATACTCATCGCCCCTCTCTAATGATATTCCACGTATCCGTTGGAAAGAGAAACGCGTGTTTACGGGCCGACACGTCTGGATAGCGGTGCCATTTAGACTTAAAGAGGAACAGTCATCGATTTATCTGGGCTTTACAGTCTCTCTCTCTCTCTCTCTCTCTCTCTCTCTCTCTCTCTCTCTCTCTCTCTCTCTCTCTCTCTCTCTCTCTCTCTCTC